CAATGATGGGGCAGTTTGGAGTACCACTTTGAAGACTTGAAAAGCCTTTGTTTTCAGGGTCCCATTCTAAAAGGGACTGAGAGCTTGGATGAGCATCTTTTAGGAGCTGGTATAGGGGCCTGGCAAGGGCTGCATATTTAGGGAACCAGATCCTGCAAAATCCTATAACTCCCAAGAAAGCTCTAAGCTGCTTTGTGGTCTGGCTAAGTGGAAAAGAGAGAATTGGGTCAATTCGCTCATGACTCAAAGAACGAGTCTGTCCCTTTAAGACAAAACCTAGGTAGGTGTCCTCTGGGAGGCATAATTGAGCATTTTCTTTAGACTTTGCATCCCCAGGAGGCCAGAAAGTTTAAAAGGGACTCATTTTCCACTCAGATGATGGTTCTGTGGCTCCGCACAGAAGTAGGACATCAACATATTGAAGGGTGGCCTCTGGGTAGTGCCAATCTAATAAGTCTTTTGTTAGGGCCTGTCCAAAAAGATGGGGCTGTCCCTAAACCCTTGTGGCAAAACTGTCCAAATCAGTTGCTATGAAGTGTTTGTGGGATCTTTGAAAGCAGACAGAGGCTGTCAGGATGCAGAGGAATGCAAAAGAAAGCGTCCTTGTTCTACTGCAGAGTAATATTGGGCTTTTGAAGGTATTTCAGCCTATAGAGTGTAGAGATAGGGAACCACTCGGTGGAGGTGAATGACTGCTTCATTAATGAGCCAGAGTTCTTGAACCAATTTCCATTTGTTTGGCCCCTTGCTGACAGCAATAGGGGCCAGAGACACTAATTATCAGCCCTTCTTTTTTTTTTAAAGGAATTTATGATAGAAAGAGGACTTGTCTTCCCTCAGACTTGAGGGGACATTGTTTTTGGTGTGGAAACTCTTAGGGATTTGAAAGAGAGAGTGAGAGTTTAGGAGAGGGAAAAAAAGCCTCAGTGCACTGAAGTCAGGCTCCACCCACATAGCATTGGCAGTCCAGTATAAATCCCTGACCAGAATCTGAGTTCTCTCAGATTGTCTGCCTTACAACTATAATGAACTCAGAACTTTACCTCAGATACCCAAGGAAGAAACCCTCTTTAACCAGAGAGATAGGTCAACCGTAGTAGGCCATGGTGTGTGTGGTGGGGGGGGGGCTCTCATGGAAAATAGACTACACCGGAGTGCCAAACAAATCACAATCACATTCCTAAGAAGCCTTTCCAGTTTGGCACAACCTATACACACCTTGGTTTAGAAGGTCAGCCTGATCACAACTCTACCCATGAGAGTGAACTTTCTCCATAGCTTCCCCATCAACCTTACTATACCTCCCAGGGAAGTCTATTACCCTTACTACCTTAAGATAATTGCTACCTTCATGAGTGGCCTAAACAGGTCTCTCTGACCATTCACTTATATAAAAAATATGCCTTTATGTGTCCTTTTAAATTTTATTGCTCTATTGGTTATCAGGATATTTTAGCTATGAATATGATATTCAGAGAAGAAATGAAATATATGGAAAAAGATGTCTTGTTTTAGTGTGCAGTTTTTCACTCTCATGTTAATCAAGTCCAAAAGAATGAAGTAGTATGTGAGTTAAACTTAAGTTGAAAGTATATATGATTCATTTCTATGTCACCAATTTAAATTCAACTCATTTATTATATCATAAACTATTTTTTAGTAATTTCAGGTAATAGCACAAGTTAGCCATTCTCTTCATTTGTTCATGTCTCCCTGATTTTTGCATGCCTTTTAAAATATTCACACACTCTGTACAAGAGAATGGGCAATTACCAAAATAATATGTGCAAAAATCTTTTAAACCCACATGAAAAGTTTATTGGAGAACTCAAAAATTTATTGGAATCACATTCTGGACTAGACACCTAGTACTAACAAAACCCTGTGATACAGCAGTGTTTTGTAGACCTGAAACGCCAGGAACCTACCAAAAACAACAGCCTAAGCCTGACTATTGAAGCCAAAATATCCTCAAACAGAGCATCTATGACATTTTGATGACATGAGGCAAATTTATGACAGGTTTTCCTTAGGCATACTGGAATTTGAACTTGTGGCCTCAGGAACGAATTGTCCATTCTGGTTTCAAACTGCAATCATCCTGATCTCTGCCTCCTGAGTATCTACTATTACCTGGAAAAATGCATGTTGGACTGAAACGCATGCAGAGATAGATGAAGAGACAGAGATGTTAGATGGAAAGAAGCATGAGAATGGCTTCAGCACAATCTTCATTGGAGAGAATAATTCTTGGAGGCAGTCTCCAGGAACAGTGCTGGAGCCCACAGTTGCTTACAGTCTAGGGATAGCTACAGCTCAAGTTGTGAAGTGCCTACCTACCAAGACAGAGACCCTAAATTCAAACACTAGTACCCAAAAAATTTTTTGGTTAAAGACAGAAGGAATAGACTTTCTTCTCATCAGGGACTGGAGGAATGACTATGAAGACACTGAAATTCAGACCTGAGTATCCCATTACAGAGCAAAGTTCCAGAAAAAAGTGTTCATAAGAATATAATTGGGGTAAGGAGCAGTATACCCAGAGTATAATTAGGGTAACTTACCAATGCTAAACTTTGGTGCATATAATATTAGTTATCCCTAAAGTAGAAAAGCTGGTAATTGTGGCATTCTCCCACATCTACAGCAAAAAGTATCACATGGAATCCCTTGGCCCAGGTAGAAAAACCAGACTTTTGTCAGTGGCAATGGGATGCACATCTGTGCACCCCAGAACTGTGCATCCACCGTAGGTATGTGACATCTCAAGCATATGAGGTAAGTGCATGTGATATGAAGTACAAAAGCAATCCAGAAAACCTATGGAGGCAAGGCTACATGGGTATGTGGGCACAAACCTTGCCTCAGTATGTCCAGGAAGCAGAGTGTTGGATCCACAATGATTGCTGCAGGTAATCCAGTGCTCTCAATCTTACCAAGAGTAATTCTGTCTTTCACAAGGCCAACATGAGGCTGCCCTGTGTTTTGAGGCTATGTGACATAATGAAGAAAATAGAAGACACCAGGGCTGAGGATGTGGCTCAAGAGGAAGAGTGCCTACCAAGCCAGTGGAGACCCCAAGTTATAATACATTCCTACCAAATAAATAAATATTTAGTTAGTTAAACTGAGTCCATCCACAGTGTGAAAATGTTTGCTGAGACTAGTAGCATCTACTATGCTATTTCTACAGTGTTAAGATGTTTGCTGGGCAGTTTGAGGGGGTGAAATCCCACGAGTCTTTTTTATAGATGGATGTTTGCATAGGTCTTCCTGACAGGTGGATTTTGAAAAAAAAATCCCAGGTGGATGTGGTCACAATGATTTGGCACTAAGGACATCATTTAGAGGTAACTCCCTCCTACATTTCTGCATCTGTTTCTTTAAGATGTGTGTTGCAATACCCACCCATAGGTGTTGTTGAAATGTGACTCCATTCTCTATTGTCTCTAAATGATGTTTGTCTTGTGATGCCCTTTCTGGCTAGCCTTCAATCTGTGCTTCTTCAGTCCCCACTATGACTATCATAGTCTGCTCCTGTCACTAGATTGAACCACTACATGTGGTTCTCTGTATCTAGTAATGTGCATGTGATTATTAGAGTATATTTGCCACTTCCCCTTCAAATTTTTGTTTAAGAAATTTCCACAGGAATGACTTTGGGAAGCAGATTTTTCTCCCATACATAACTTGTGCAAAAATTTAAAAATGCAAAATGAATAATCATCTCCACCAACGATCTAGTATCAAAAATCACAAGGTTTCTTCTCTGAATGTCACTGGAATATCCTGGTATGACCAATTCCAGTCCCACATAAAAGAAATACTTATGCCACTCCTTCCAGCACATAAGCAAGTCTATTGATGTAGGATCCAATGCAGCTGTCTTTACAGGATGGCACTAGAATAGGAACCATAAAGACTGTATCTAGAGAAAAAATTTACACATACATACCCCACAGATCTCTAAGAATTTATAAGCCATAGCCAGTGGCATGGGCCTTTAATACTAGTACTTGAGAGGTTGAGACAGGAGGATCATGGTTGGAGGTCAGCCTGCACAAGTAGTTCACAGACCCTTGCTCCAAAATAATTAGGAGAAAATGGACTGGAGGCTTGGAGTTAGAGTTCTTTCCCTACAAGCAATAAGACATGAGTCAAGTTTTCACTTCATACCATCTTATATCATATCTCTGGAGGAAGGCAGGTGACATGGCATACCTTTGCTAACAAACCTTACATAAACTGGGCAGTATCATAAGTGCAAGAATGGAGTTCCTTCATGTTGCTAAAAGGACGCGGGATAAGTGAAGCCTCTCCCTCATTACTTCAACACATATTGTAATTTTGTATGTATTGAAGGAGCACTGGAATGCATGAAGGCTTAGCCACATTACACACATGTATAGCCTTGTGCTACAATGTGAATTGTGTCATGTCAAAGAAGATTACTGCAAGGTGAAGACATTCTTGCTTTACTTACATTAATAGTGTTACTGGGTTCATTCATATTGTTCAAGCAGACTGAGAAGTGTGAATGTTTTATCATATTTGACATGTCCTTAGTGTTTATTCACATAATGAATTCTTTCAGGTCCATGAAGGGTACTAGACCTAAGGAAGCCTTTCCACATTGCCTAAATCCACTGGGCTTGTGGTTGCATTCTTTGATGAGTATGAAGAATACTGGATTGAGTCTAGGTTGTCTTTCATTCCTTACATTCATAGTTTCTCTGCAGAGTCAATTTGCAATTGTTAATGTCACTGGAAATTGCTCATATCCATAATTTTAATCTCTGGTGTAAGTTCCTTTATGTCTTTTAAGGGTAGTGGGGCATGTGAACACTTTTACCGCATTGGTTATACCCATAAGATTTGTCTTCAGTATTAGTTCTGTCAGGGCTTCAAAAGCGACTGGAATGAGTGAAGGCTTACTCACATTGCATATATCCATAAGGGTTCACATCTGTGTGAGTTCTTCTATAGTTCTGAAGGTGACTGGCTTGATTAAAGGCTTTGCCACATTGCTTACATCCATAGGGTTTTTCTCCAGTGTGAATTCTTCTATGTCTCTGAACATGACTGGCTTGAGTAAAGGCTTTCTCACATTGCTTTCATCCATACAGTTTCTCTGTAGTGTGAGTTCTCTCATGAATACGAAGGGTACTTGAATCAGTGTAGGTTTTCCCACATTGCTTACATCCATAGGGTTTCTCTCCAGTATGAACTCTTTCATGTCTTTGAAGGTGGTTGGATTGATAAAAGGCTTTCCCACATTTCTTACATCCGTAGGGTTTCTCTCCAGTGTGAGTTCGTTCATGAATACGAAGGGTAGTGGAAAAGGGGTAGGTTTTCCCACATTGCTTACATTCATAGGGTTTCTCTCCAGTGTGACTTCTTTCATGATAACGAAGGTAACACGCATGAGTGAAGAATTTCCCACATTGCTTGCATCCATAGCGTTTCTCTCCAGTGTGAATTGTTTCATGTTTTTGAAGGTGATTGGCTTTAATAAAGGTTTTGCCACATAGCTTACATTCATAGGGTTTCTCTCCAGTGTGAGTTCTTTCATGATAACGAAGGTAACACACATGAGTGAAGAATTTCCCACATTGCTTACATCCATAGGGTTTCTCTCCAGTGTGAGTTCTTTCGTGATATCGAAGGTGACATGCATGAGTGAAGACTTTCCCACATTGCTTACATCCATAGGGTTTCTCTCCCGTATGAGTTCTTTCATGATAACGAAGGTAACATGCATGAGTGAATACTTTCCCACATTGTTTACATCCATAGGGTTTCTCTCCAGTGTGAGTTCTTTCATGAACGCGAAGGGTACTGGAACAAGTATAGGCTTTCCCACATTGCTTGCATCCATAGGGTTTCTCTCCAGTGTGAGTTCTTTCGTGAATCTGTAGGGTACTTGAATAGGCATAGGCTTTCCCACATTGCTTACATCCATAGGGTTTTTCTCCACTGTGAGTTCTTTCATGTCGTTGAAGGTGATTGGCATTATTAAAGGCTTTCCCACATAGCTTACATCCATAGGGTTTTTCTCCAGTGTGAGTTCTTTCATGTCTTTGAAGGTTACTGGAATGAGTGAAGACTTTCCCACATTGTTTACATCCATGAGATTTCACTACATTGTGTATCCTTTCATGCATTACAAGAGCCTTGCCATCAGTGGATTTCCCATAAGGATCACATATATTGCTTTTACATGGTGCCATTCTAAGTAGAGTTTCTTTGCTTACAATGGTCTCTGGAGTGTGTTGAAAGGATTCTCCACATTGAATACGTAGTTTATGTTCATTGAGTCTCTCTAACACTTCAGGTCTGTAAAACAGATGAAGATTACCATTGTTATCCAATGAATGATTTATTAGAAATTATGGTGGCTGTTCCTGTGAGGATTTATGAACACAAATGGTACTACACGTTCTGTAGCAGGGTCTGAGGACAGCTACTGCCAAAACAGTGGTGTTCATATGTGTTCCCGTCACACTATTTCCATGTTAGGTGCTTCACAACACTGAATACATTTTACTATATTGAAATACACTTAAGCGTTTTTTGAGATGCCTTGGATCAACAGCATAACGAATTGTAAAACAAAAAAATGAACATGATGACAAAGGTAGAAAAATGTGCCAGTCTATATCAATGCACATAATAATACCACTTTGATGGAATTTGATATAAAATAGTTAAATTAGTTTGTGCACAGAGTGGGATTATTTTTGTGTATTGGGCAATATACAAAAAATGGCACATATCAAACTTATTTTTCCAATCCTATAGAAACTTCTCACTGATTTCAGCAATTTATAAGTAGATTTTTTGGTGTCATTTTCTTAGTTTTCAGACTTCTTGTCAATGCCACATCTGGCATCATGCTTTGGTTATGAGTACAAATTACCTCGTATTTCTTCTGGGATTCCTGAAGTCCACTTCAATGTTTTCATTTTCTTCTTTTGTTTGTAAGATACAGAAACAGAGAAATCATTATTTAATCAATATGAAAGAACAATTTGAGACGTTAGCTATGTTCATGATATAATATGATCATGCATGTATATGAACCATTACTGTCCCTTTTTAAACACCCCATCAGGCAACAACACCAATGAGTCACAACAGTAGTGCACACTTTAATTTAAGGTAATGATGCCATACTACCTATGTAGGACAGGTTGCTATAGGTTTCCAGCATCACTTCTCTGTAGAGCTTCTTTTGGGAAGGATCCAAACAGCCCCATTCTTCCAGGGTGAAGCTCACAGTAACATCCTCAAAGGTCAGGGACTCCTAATATGTCACACAGAAGAATTGTCAGTGTCACAGCAGTGCAAACAATCTCTGTGTAATAAATTCACATGCTGATGTGGTCTCCACATATTCAATGCATTTTATTTTTATCACACTCTCATTCTCCATCTATACTCCCAGGCACTTCATAGTAATTCTGACATCTCACTGGAACTATTTGTTAAATTCAAAGCAGACCATGGTCACAAAAATTGCATGTTATACACTGAGATTTTAGCAATCTACAAATTCCTTCTTCTTTGTTCGCACTGGAGTAATAACAGGTGCAAATACACTGCAGCAATAATGTTTTTAATGCATGAGTGAAAATTTTATGTCTACTGGCAATGCAGAACTGCTAATGGGATGAACCTCACCAAACCAAATATAAAGTGTAAAAAGGGGAGAGTGTCCTGAAGCAATTTATTCCAATAATATCCTACTTTATACATATTATTTATGATTATTTGCACATTTCTGCAAGGTTTACCAGAAGGAGTCTGCAATAAGAGAACCCACAATGCACTGATGGTCATGAACAGAAAGTTGGTATGACAAATAGTATTTACTCTCTTTCCAAAACAATTTTTTTTTGGAATTGAGGACCTCCTTGGTGACTGTATCAAGATAGAACATTTCAAAGTGTCTTCATGGTTTAGAACAGACCAACCCAAATTTAAAGCTAAATAAAACTCATGAAGTATCATTGACATAAAGTTCCAGCAAAAACATACTGTAGAAAGGAGAAATGTATCATGCTGCATACAATTTTGCAATTTCTAAAATATACCTTAAAACTCATGAACAAAACTACTTTTCAAAATGTAATCAGTGTCATAACTTGCAAACAGCATTAAAAATAATTGGAATAAGAAAGTGATCCCTTGATCTACTTGTGCAGGCCTAATCTTTTAATTCCACCAGAAGGGCGACAAGTTAAACATAGGAGTGATCTATATAGCAAAAACTACTGTCAATAAAGGCAGAATAATAATGAAAAAGAATGAGAGAGAACAAGGGAATGAACACAAAATGTCCTATTGTGTAATATTAATAAACAATATTCAAACTACATTATCAAGGGCAGTGAACTATAAGAAAGGTTAACAAATAGGCCTCAGAGGAAAGGGAACCAGTCTTATCTTGACTTTAATGTAAGAGAAAATTGATTCATGACAGAAGACACATCATATACTGGTGGCTAAGAGCACAAAATATGGAATTCAATTTCTCCTTGAAAACACAGCTTGTATTCTCCAATGTCATGGACAATGATTCAATTGCATGGGAAGTAGGAAAGATAAAATCAGAATTCTTTTGAAGTCTTGGATGTCACATGCCTGTCATCACAGCATTTGCAAAACTAAGGTATGACTAGCATATGTTCAATGTGATCCCAGATAAATCTCCTCTTCAAGAGGTATGTATGAAGTCTCTGTGTAAAAGTAACACAAAAAGAGCATTTTGAAAGTCACTACACAAGGAACATACAGAATGAATGTGGAATGTTAATATATTAGAGTGGCAAAAGACAAACAATGAGGATAAATATCTGCAATGCAAGTAAAACAACAGGATTAGTGAACTGTATACACTAATGAATGAGAACATGATTGAAAAATGCAACATAAGACACCATGTATGAATCAAGATCTATGTCTTTGATTTAGGAATTAGCAGAGTAAAATAAATGTTCAAAATCCAAATACATAAGAAAAATGTAATGCTTGAAGGAGTGGCAATTGATGAACTCTCCACTAACATTTCTCTACTTCTAATTATGTAAGAGTCCTTAAATTGTTTCTAATACTCACTGGACATATAAATGTTGATCAGAACTATTTTTCACATCCTGTAGAAGACATCAAGACAAGACTGCAAAACCATGACCAATGAAACAAAAGTGAAAATAGTTCAGTTCAATTATCACACAAGATTATTTGTGTAAAACACTCAAAGACCGCACCCAGAAGGCTTTTATATGGAATAGCTCTAATACTTTTTCTAATTCCAAAGAGTCAAGAATAGAAGAACACAGTCTAATGGATAAGATGGAAAAAGTAAGAAAAGAATTAAGGTGGTAGCCATCTACTGTAGTATTGTGTCTACAGACACTTTTTATTCACATCTACCAGGACATCTAGATACCTCCTATGAATGCATGTGCAGATCTTTCCATGTATTTCAGAATTACCCTGAGATTATGTCACTGAATATTTTCCTATGTCTTTTGTTTGTTGTTGTACATCACATTTAATGTCAAATATTTATGTTTGGTCATTTAATTAAGTTCCAAAGGTCTGAAAAGTTGTGGTCATCTGTGTGCAAGAAACTCACATGATAAACAAATTATAAAGCTTTTACTAAATACCCACATCTCTCAAACGTACAAAAGCATTCCAGTAGCATGAGAAACCCAACTTGTCATTCTGTTAGATTCTGCCTCTCAGATTTGCTCAGTTTGTACAAAATAGTCCAAACAAAATGCTTATGAAGCAAATATTTTAAAGTTTTCTGTTCTTCCTGCAGTCATGCTCACTGTTACCCACCCTGAATCTGCAGAAAATCCCTCTTTACTGTCACCCACAGAACAGAATTATAACCAGGAATAATTTCCTGGTAGGGAAAGTTGATTTAGCCACCTGTCATCATCCATTATCTCCCAAGTTCTTCCCTTTTCTTGGAAAGCAAAGATCTTTTTATGCCTAGCAATTGGGCCATCTGCATTCCTTAATTTTGGGACAACCCACGTAGTGCCATAATTTCATAAAACCTTCAAAGGTAAAGAGCACACTCAGTGCTGAAAAGGAGCCCTGCAAGGTATAAGATTCCATTGATCAGCACAGAAACCTAAGGATATAACTCCGGTAGCCTGTCATGTCCTTTTATTCCCATCCCCTAAGGGGAAAACTCTAGGATTCTACACTTATATTTCTCATACAGAACAGTTCAGTTCAGTCACTTGAAGTTTCTACAAAAAAAAGTTAAATGCAAAAACTCAGTCTGTATGAAACTACCAAAATACAGCTATCTTTGACTCTGAACCTCACAGATATTCTTCATGTGTTCATAGAGAAGTGTAAATCCAAAATACTGATGAGTGCTCAAGACATTCTGAGTTTTACTTATTCCATAGCAGAACCTGGGACCAAACGCCACACAAATAAACTCTGAAATGAATAAGCCATTTCATGCAGCAGGCACATCCTTATCCTTGGCTTTGGATCCAGGACCACTAAGGGGTGAAGGGATCCTTTTCCTGGCAGTCTTTTCAAATACCTGTTTCCAGCTATAGCCTTTAGCAGGGTAGGCCTCCTTTCTAGCCCCTATGCTGCCAAGACTGGGGATTCATTGTAGTTAAGCAGAATTCCTCCTCAATTTTCAGGATGGAAACTGCTTTTTCCACTTGGAAACCAGTCGAGGAGTCTTGAGACAGAATTCCACAATCACTGTCCAAAGATATAGCACCTCACAGAAACAGCACTAGGTACACCAGAGCAAACACTCTTCTGATTACACTTATATGACTTACCCAAACTTTACAACTTCTGACATGCTCCACCATCTTCTCAAAGTCTTATAATTTTGCCTCAACATGGTTACATGAATTAATCACTGCAAATAAGGCAACTCAAAAGCAAGTTGATTTTTTGGAGGGGGTGGAAATGGAGCTTGACTCACGGCCGCACACCTGCTAGATTGGCACTAACACTTAAGTCACTCCACAAGCCCTCTCAATTTCTTTGAGTGCTTCTTTTCTCCTCCCTTTAACAGCAACGCTCTTCTGTGCAAAAATTGGGATGCCTGCATATGTTATTTTTAGGGAAATCCTCTAGTGTAATACACAAACCAAAATCATGTCCTTCATTAATCATGATGTCATTATAAAATGAGAAACATTCTGAGGACAATAACAGGTATCTGTGAGTGGGGACAAAGTTCCCCCTTCCCTGCAAGAGCAACCATGTATGCTGGTGGTCACTCATTTCCAATGGTTTTGGCAATGTGGGGGATACACAGACATTCAAGAATTAGTGGCAGCACTAAGAATCCTGGGCCTCAGATGACAGTTTCTGGATTTAAAAAACTGTTTACTTGGAACCTGGGAGTCTCACAGGAAATGCAGAAACTTACCTTAAGAAAAAAACAGCAAGTATACATGGCCAATGGACTGCCCCTCAGTCCACTGGATGATTTTGAACCATTTTATGCATTGGAAATAGAGTGTTGGAAATTGAGACAGTTCCAAGGATCCAAATTGAGACAATTTCCATGGGACTAAAGGTCCAATACTGGGGCAATTCCTGTGGACCACAGCCTGAGATCAACAGGTGGTGGGTAAACCGGAAGTGGCCCTACTTCGAGGACAGATGTATGAGAGATCAGGAGCATCCCCACTTCCAACTGCTAACCTATCTGGGCATGCACATGGATATTTTCTAGGTGTCCCCAGAAAACAGCAGGTGAATCCATCCAGCTGATGGATGGAGGGAGTCTCTCCCCCTGCTAGAGCTTTGTCATGGTCCACAGCAGGATGTTCAGGGTAGGACTGCAGAGACACCTGAATGGGGGGACAACTCACCAAAATTGAAGGTGAGTGTTGGGCAGAGGTATAGCATTGGGTAAATGGCCTTTGGAGGAGCCATGAAAGAAAGAAAGTGTGGGAAACCAGTGAAAAAAAAAAGGGGGAGAGACAGCCGGGATGAGGAAGACTTGAGCCTCTACTGAGGATCCAAGAGTGAACATGGAAAAAGCTGCTGCTGTCCACTACTTTCCAAGTTGTAAGAGTGGAGACCTGGGAGTTGAACCTATATACTGCCACAGGTTTCAACACCATATGTTAGAAATGAAAGAACAGTGTGGAATGGATAGGTGGGAGATACCTCATATGCCAGCACAGGGTTTATTGTGGAGAAGTGGCCCACGGAGGGGAACTCCAGCAAGAGAGCTGAGGCCCACTGCAGCTTACAGACTGGGGGTAGATAAAGGAGGTGGGTAGA